GAATACACACAGGGGACTTCACTTTATGACAATGTTTTGTATTTACCGCTTAGCAATGTTACTTTCATGTTTTCACGCGGGAATCTTATTATTAATTGTAACAATTGAATTATTTACACAGCGCATGTTCGTACAGTCACGATGTCCTTTAGTTTGTTGACCTGCATGCAAACTGTTTCTTCGACTTTAATACCGACATTCTAGAGACTTAAAATGATGATACTTTTGTGCTAACTTAGAAAAATCACGTTAATCTTCCAATTAAACAATCTAGTCAGTTATATTATGGTATACATTGGTCAAATTTAAATTACTATGTTAAATATTTTGTGGTACATTATTGTCTATTTAAATTGTGGGAGTGTAGAGAAACACAATCTCAAATAGCCCAAATTATCTCCACTAGAGAAGGGAAAAGATAATACGGCTGAATATTGAAACTATATTTAAATTGTAAATGATAAGGCCTTGAATAAACTCTCTCAGCTCAAAGGTAACAAAATTGTAATAGAAGTCAGAATTCAATGCTGTTTTCAAGATTCGTTTCAATATTCGGCCTATAGTGTGGTAGAATAAATGAAAAGAAAAGCCTTGCAATTTATATTTTTTTCTAAATATAACAATGACTTGACATTTCGTATGAAGAAAACCACAGAAGTATTGTTCTAGTCTTTTTTATATTTTTAATTTGCATCCTAAACAACTTTATGCGGTTTTAATAGGAATATTTCATTCAGCATGAACTCACGGCCTTGATTTAGGTTTGTTACAAAGGACGTGTTCGTTGAATACAAAACAAACAACAGAATTATATGTTTTTAAACCCTTTTTCCTTTCCTCTTACCGTCATGTCACAAATCGGATGTGTATTGCATTTGCTCTGACAGTTTCTTCCTGTATTATCATACTATGACTTTTAGAGCTTTCGCCTAAGTTCATGTTACCTTTTTTATTTTCGTTACAATACATTTACAACCATGTTATTACTATTAAAGTTATTAACTTAAACATGGAAAAGGGACATGAAAAACACATTTTTACATCCTAATTCTATAAACTAATTTTAATCTTATCTTACTAATATTATAAATGCAAAAGTTTAGATAGATTGAATGGATGTTTGTTAGAGTTTGTAGCCTAAACGGCTGATCGGATCTCGATGATATTTGGATCAGATGCAGAAGTTTGTCTGAAAGAACACATAAGCTACTTACTTTTGTTTTTTTTATTAAAATTCCACACGGACGGATTCGCTGGCGAAAGCTCGTCTTTAACAAGTTAAGTGTTCTGTATTTTAATTTTTATTTGTAAAATCACAAACTTACCTTCATTTAATGTAATTTAGTTAACCATTGATTGACAAGGATGTAAGACGGATACAAGATGAATCATGGCGCCTTCGGAGCGAAGCTTCCATGAATCAGTTCGCCATACGCGGCCTCGTATCGCACCGCGTCTGAGGTCATTGACTCACATCGACCATAGATAACATAAACCTCGTCAATGAGTTTTCATAATTATAAAATATAGCTTATATTATACAGGGATAATATCTTTTTTACCTTAATTCGACAGAGTTTGTACCAAAAAAATAATTGATTTTGTCTTCATATTTTTAGAAATGAAATATTAATGAATTTAATTTTTTTTATATAAGTTGTTCATCACGCTGGACATTTTTGATCTCTCGATTAAGGATCAATGGTGAATTAATTTGTGAAATCGGTCCAGGAGTTTTTAAGTTAATTCATCACAAACAAACTAAAATACAAATCTTTCCTTTTAGAATATCGTTTTTTTATAACTTTTCATTTATCAATGCATTCGTTTTTTATTATTTTAAAGAGAAAGTTTAAAATGAGCTTTTTTGCTTACTGCAAGCTTTATACTTTATGTGACAGGTAAAGCTCTTAAACATTTTAATTACTCTTATCTCTGGTAATATGTGACTTTGAACAAATATTAACCATATTTTTTATATTAAAAATATTAATCATAAATTCAACTTATTTTTATATTAGAGGTTTACTTTTTTTACAATATTAGTGACGTATAAAGACGTTACAATCACTGCTATTTAAAATAAAAGCCAATCAAAAGCCAAACATTAATATTACGTACTGACGTACGCACTCGTTGAATCACGAACGTGTTCTAAAAACATTTCCATTCTTCATATATAAAGTTGCATCGAACATTGACCGATCAGTATGTTAATAAACGTTGTGGAGAACGCAACGTTCACGAGGTATGGTGGTCGCGGTATGTGATATAAACATCAGTGCGAAAGTAAAATTAGTAATAACGATGTGCAACTGCAAGGGACTGCACACGAGTGCACGAATTATTAAAGATAAACGGGTTAGTGTTCATAATTTTAAATTAAGAGCTTCTCATAATCATACTAATGTTATAAATACGAAAGTTTAGATGGATGGATGAATGTTTGTTAGAGTTTGCAAACTAAACGATTGAAAGGATTTGGATGAAATTTGGTATAGATGTACAGGATAGTTATACACAGGCTACTCACTTGTGTTATTTTTTACTTCCACACGGACGGAGTCGCGGGCGAAAGCCAGTAATAACATAAAGTAGGTTTGCAGCTTTTTAACAGCTTTAGTATAAATCAATTCATTTTTAAATTAATGAAATACCGATGTCAACAACTCTAGTTGTAATATTCGACAATAAAAAATAGGAAAGTGCAATAAATTTTACAATTTTTAATACACTTTATTTTTAAATTTGGCTCTAGCAGTTGTCATAATTTACAGAGGGATTGACAGTATTATTATATATAATTCCATGTATAATCTTACAATTAATTTATGACTTAAAACTAATTAAAAAACTCTGTTGAAACACCTGTAAAAATTGTTAACTCAGTTTACTGTAAAAATCAGTTAGCTGATATTTGAATGACTTACGTATCTCTTATCGCTTGTGTAGTATATGTAAAAATAAACTTGTAAGACAAGATGCATTTAAATATAGCGAGATATCGACGTATCAAAATCGATTTGCGTCAAGAATGCGCCGGCGCCGGCGGGCCTCGTAACTTATTGCAATTCGTCTCCTGATAACAGTCCAGTTATATCTGCCGCCGATAAACTGTAAACTTCGTCTGTTTATAAACGTACTAACCATCTTAAATGCAATAAAGATTATTGCATCTTCTTTAATTATCGTAGTTAACTAAACGAATCAAACTTTTATAATTTTCTTACAAAGTTCATTCAACGTAAATGATTTAAAATATAGCTTTGACAATTTGCAACTCTTCAAATTGCGAATGATTAGTTAGTTTTGTTTATAATTATGTCTAGTATGATTATATAGCAGCGATGTTTACAATCGTTCGGTGACATATCGATTGCATAAAGGCGTCGGAAACGGACATGGCCTGCCCCAAGCTCGCCGACGCAGCGCGGACGCCCACAGAAGTAGCACAATGCAGTGCGATGCAATCCGTCATTATCGCACCATTTGGGACGAATGTTCCGCTGCAGCTGGGTACATGTGTTAGTACACTACAGATACCATAATTTAGCACTTATTAGAGACTGTTTCGATATTTCGAAAATGCATTTATGTCAATAAATATCAAGTTTTCCTTGTTTATTTTTTGTATGTACTTATCATAATTATGTACTTTTCTATTTTTTAATAAACTTGTTCTATATTATGTTTTAAATGAACCATCCTATAATTTTTTTTTATGTAGTGAGCTACCGAAAAGTACACATACATTAAAAGCTATTATGCTAAACTAATCCTATGACATACACTCTGTAAGACTAAACTCCTAACTAAATTTGGCATTAACGATTCTCTCATAGTTCTTGAAATAAACTTATATTGTAAGGGACAAAGGTACTTATTTGGTGAACTGGTATAACAGTGGGAACAAAGAGCCTAAAAGACAAAGGAATTTTCCCATTATACTCGTACAACCGAATGCATGAAAGTTATTTAACTTAATCTGTCTCAGTCTCCTTTCAAATTGCGATCCTTTCATTAAGTTAAATGTTATTTTTGTTGCGGAAATTGCAATTTTTAACTAAACATTGTAAGAAATCATGTAAAAATCGATACTGCTTAGCAGCCGCATGAATTACATACATGATATTACAAATCATATATCAAATTTCTTTTGTTTTAAATAAAACTAAAACAAGCAGTCCTAAATTTTAATATATTTATGGTCAATGTGGTGATGTGGGCGAAGACGCATGCATAGGGTCGCCAATAGAAATAACATTTGCGACTCTAATTTATGAAGACTTTTGCCGCTTAGTAATTCGATGTGTTGATTTATAAAACGTAAACGAACAGATGTGTGTTTGTCTCCAGGGTGACATACAATTTTGCGATATAAGAGAGCATATTGTCTGTATTTACTACATACTTTTTTGTTCTTTTTTCTCTAAGGATTTTGTTTATTTTTTATGAAATGTAAAAATAGTTTTGTTAGTTATATCCAACTTTATTATAATACATGATAAAGGTGACAGTGTTATGAATATATGGCAGTTATTAGCCGTTTAAAGTAGGTTAATATGGATGCAGAGATTTTGTCTCTTAATTTAGTGTGGGTATCTGTAGAATTATGTGGACGCGACGACAAAAGACGGGGGTTCAAAGGAGAGAAATAGATAAAATTAAAACGGATTCCGTTTCGTAAGAATTGATACATTTATTTTTTGTATTTAGATGAAAATGGAATAGATTACTTTGTTTTTGATTATTTCTATGCTTAGAATATTTCTTATTAATGTAGCTACTAGCTTTCGCGGGGAATCCGTGCGCTTGGCATTAAAAAAAACAATAGTGCTATGTCTTCAAGACTATCCTCTACATCCGCCGTCTAGACTACACACTCTAACAAACACCCATCCATCTAAACTTTCGCATACATAATATTAGTAAGATTTAGGGCTGTAATATCAGGAGCTGTATCAAGAGTCAATATTAATATTTTTATGTTTTCTTTGCAGTGCATGGCGCGAGCACTATACGACAACATAGCGGAGTCGCCGGACGAGCTGGCGTTCCGGCGCGGCGACCTGCTCACCGTGCTGGAGCAGAACACCGGCGGCAGCGAGGGCTGGTGGCTATGCTCATTACGAGGCAGACAGGTCAGTGTTGTTAGACAGAGACTAACAATCATTATCTGCTTTCTATCTCTTTTTGATTTAACCTGCAGTAAAAGATTACAGGCAAACAAAATGTGATCTTCACTTGTTACCTTCTTTTTTCTTATGGTGTACTGACTGTTGCACGCGATTTCGTCCTCTTGAAATTAAAAATTAATATAAAAATAGCCTTTGTTACTCATAGATAAATTACCTTTCTAACGGTGAAAGAATGTTTAAAATCGGCCCAGTAGTTTTGGAGTTATTTAAATACATACAAAAATACAAATCTTTCTTCTTTATAATATTAGTCTGGGTAAGGTTTTATATTAAGAAAGTGACTGGCCACTAATGCTAATGGCCAGTAATAACACGAAACCGTAAGGACAACAACAATATTATCGCAACGTTACGCATACTATTGAACTCATGGTTTGTTTTTGTTACCATGACGCGGGTCGTACGTGACTTACGTTAAGATTTTCGTTAGCTTATCCCAAGTCCTATGACGTCGCAATTATTAGAACTGTACTATTATTGTTGTTATTTTGACCAATAGTTCACAAGGGCTTATCCTATGACTAGTTGTTTTCTATATTAGACTATAAACCTATAGTTAGGTATTAGATAACTGTTTGGAAATGATAATATATTGTTAGATTCTTGCATCTAGCTATTAATACATAGGACTAGGACGTAGTCAAACATGCAGGCCCAACGCAAGTTGGTTGACTTCACAAAAATTGTGACAGTCCAAGCCGAGGTCCCCTCTCGGGGGCCTTTGTGCCTAGTCACTCCATGGTGCGTCCACCGAAGCGATCTAAGAGCTCGGTGGCCTCCCAATCCGGTAATAATAACGAAGGAACGGGTCATGCCGAGGCTCCTGAGGGAGCCCTCGAGCTTAGTTACTCATAAACGAGGTTTAGGCTAAGCGCCATCTGCGCTCGGCCATCCAGGCCCGGTGAATCTGTAAATGCCTCTTCAAGGCAAACAGTAGCCATTCAGTCACAAAAAAATAAAAAAATCACAAAAACCTTTTCATTATGTGCAGGTTGCATTGTAGTTTTCAGAATAGAAAGATTGTAAAATTGGGATAGTACAATAAAATTCAGTTAGTTATTGTATTTTATATTTTCTTACAAATAACATGTAGCATGTTTTCCTGTCCTACTTACATTTCTTGTTTTGTTTTTTAGTTCCTGTTCAATAGAAAACCACGTAGCCAGTGCAGACGTACGTAGAATTACCTCACTGTCGAGACTCTAATTTGTCACTGTCTGCGGTCTTTCACTGAATCCTCACTAATGCGCTATTTAAAATTAATTATTTACCTTTTAATACTTATGATGCATTTATTTATTATTATTTTATTTGTCACTTTGTGGCATTAAAACCAGAAAAGTGTTTAATATTCATGAAAACTTGTTTATTAGGTTCTCATTTAAGTCAAAAGTTAAGTTTATTTTTGTTGTAGAATCTTTGAAGAGTCAATGATCAATTGTAAGAGGAGAACCAATAATACTAATATTATAAATGGGAAAGTTTAGATGGATAGATGTTTGTTAGAGTTTGTAGCCAAAACGGTTTAAGGAATTTCTATGAAATTTGGTATAGATGTAGAGGACCGTCTGGAAGAACACGTCAGCTACTCACTATTCCTTTTTTTATTCCACGCGGACGGAGTCGCAGGCGATAGCTAGTGTATAAATATTGTAAAACATCCTATATTGTAAAGCGCTAAATAAATTAGAATTAAATATTACAAACAGCAGAAACTGCTTGTATATTAAAAGCATGTAATGTATGTATTCCAGGGGATATGTCCGGGCAACAGACTGCGCATCGTGGCGGGTGTTTTCGAAGCTGGCGCAGTGACGCAGCGTCGACGCACGCGTACGCCCGCAGCCACCCCTAACCCTACGCCCGTAGCGCACCAGCCCTTACCCGCACACCATTCACCGGCATTCACTAAAGTACGTACTCTAATAACTATTAAGGTTTCTCCTTTAAAGTTATTGAAACTAGTAAAACAATTGTTCGAGTTACTCTGTTCATTTACTTCTTTGGTATGGTTTCTGCCAGACGCCGATTCCTCTAGTACTCAATATAGCGAACCACTACCACCACATAGTCTGTGTCATTAGACTGTCCTAGTTTGAGTTAACTTTGAATCGAAAATTTTCAACAGATCGAAGAATGTTCACACTACGACGTGCCTCGCGCGCCTCTGCCAGTAACCCGGGGTACATACGACTGTCCGCGGCCGCTCGGGGACTGGTACGACGCCCCGAGAGCGCCGCGGCCAGCAAGCGCGGACTCCGCGTGCAGCGGCACAGGCTCCCTTACCTCCGCCACCTCCAGTGCTTCCGCCAATTCCGCGAACTCTGCAAACTCCGGACACTCAGCGAACTCCGCGCACTCCGCCGCATCCACCTCTAGCACGTACGACGTGCCCCGCTCGAGGGCACTGCCTCTGCCCTGTGATGCGGCATTAGAAGCTTTAGAGAGGTTACAGGTATGTCCTATCGGCCTTATCCGTATACCATATAAATATAGTTAGTAGCGCCTGTAGGTTGATTTTAAATAGACAAGAACGCAAATTGACAGTAAAGTACAGCGTTCCAACACTGCAACTAATTATAAAGTGTTAAGTAATTCTATATTTTACACATTACATTAATAAAGATTACAAGCGTGGTTTTGCGGTTGATATCAGTGCAAAGTACAATGACAGAGACGTTATTATTGGAGTTGTATATAAGATCGTTCCTATTGTAACTATTAGTCACGATGACATCGGTTTGTGGTTACGGTACTGTTGTCGTTATACACATGATATAAATTCAAGGTTACGGTTACAATACGATCTCTTAAACTGACATTAAGTGTTAGGTGTACAACAGTGGTAGAGCCCGCTTTAACATCTTCGCACGAATGGGCCGGCTCGCCCGGTGTAATACCACGACCACACAGAAAACAGGCGTGAA